TTGGAAAAAAAGTTGCCTGCAGCATTTAAGGAGCCGCGAAAGCGATCAAAATCATTATCTAGCCAACATAATAATTTTGGCAAATTCTCAATTTGCATTATCAAAGACCAAACATCCGAACTGACTTCGTAATACTGCTGATAATATCGGAGATGAAAGGGAAGGATGAGAGAATCAAGAAAATGAGGGGATATGGAAGTTGGAATGCCTTAGGAAATTGTGTACTCGCTGTAACCTATGCCCGCGAAGGATGCCAAGGGGCAAGCCCTTCTTTTCCTCCTCATATGTACCAGAGAGGTTCTGCCAAATTTTCTAGAGTTATAGGCAAAGAAAGGTAACAAAATTCGTGTACAACCCAATATTTGTGCAAGAAGTACATTTTTTCAGATGCGCTTTCAGTCTAAGCGCTTGAGATTTGCTGAGAATGAAGGCTACGCATTTTCGTCTACTCTCATATTTGTTTTGCTATTTGTACAACAAGGGCAATACATGTGTAGCTGCCCTTGGTGCCTTGTTGCCGATACAACAAGGCACCAAGGGCGGCTAACCTTTGATTTGACTGGATTGGCGGGTGGAAGGCGGGACTTTGCGACCTGATTGAGGCAGCTCGCGCCCGCGACGAAGTCGGCTCTCTCTCGCGCTCATGCTCTCTGATCATTCTCTAGCCTTAACTAGGTCACGAAGCCCCGCCATTTAGCAGCCAATTCGATTGAGTTTAAGGGTACACATGTATTGCCTCAAAATGCGCTTTGCTGATCCGTCTCTAATAGAAATTACTAAAACAATTGAAGTATGTCTTAAGCCTATTTATTAAGTTGGTGCAAAAGTTACGTTCACCATAAATCACGACATCTTGCTCACCCAACGGTTTTCAAATAAGTCAATTTGGTAAAAAGAGGAAATCACAGTCTTTGTAATTTTGCTTTTGCTTCTTTGGGGTAGGATAAGTCTTGAGATAAGAGCGGGAGAACATAGGCTACTAAAAAAACTGAAAATTGCGAAAAATTTGGAGCAAGAACGAGGGACGTCTTTTAAACGCTTTTTCAATTCTGATGTCGTGCTAACTGGACAATTGTAAAAAGTCATGTCAAAGTCAAGTTCTCATTCTGCGATACCTTCGCATAGTGAATGACAGGTTACTGCCATACAAGAGTAAATTTTTTATTGTGTAGGTCTCCTGGAGATCTCAGGGGGAGACATCTCATTTTCAAAGTCGTTTAACTTCCTGAAATCTCGAAAACGCTGTAAAATTGTATTGAGGATATACTTCGGCACTGCTAAGCACGTTTTCGACTTGAGAACTAGAATGTAAAGATTGTGAATTTTTCGATAATCCTCTCGCGAGCAGTAGTTCATCGAGAATTTCGATATGTTGAGATTTTACTTATTTCTACTAAAACAAGTTTAACAGTCCCATTTAATTTTACAACGGTTTCATTTAGTTTATAGGAATGACTTTGAAAATGGGAGGTGATCCTCTAGGAAAACTCTGAAAATGAGAGCTGATCCTCCTGTTATCCACTGGGGATCGATCCTGAAAATCTGTTCTTGTGTAACAGTATCCTGGCAGCAATTATGCGCAGGTATGAGGGTATAGTCGATCGAGATATTCGAGATCGCCGAAATTTGCGCTCCTCCATTTTTAGTGTATCTTAGGGCCGCATGCATTAACATCCCCTCCGGGAAAGGGATCGCAGCTTACAAAAAAGCTTCATATTCTGAAGCTCCAAACCTCTGGATTTCACGCTGTCTACCCATCCGTAAGCATTTCTATCATCCTTCACTCTGAACATATTGAACAGGAGCGGGAAGCGTACAGGCCGTATTTTCCAGCACTTTGTATGATCCTCTGATGATCCCCAGCTGCCGACCGCCTACATATTCTTCAAGGTCATTTTTCATTTTTCGAAGTCAATAAAAACGTTCCAAAGTTGTGCTGTTCATCTAAACCAACAGCGCTAATCATGTTCCTGGTAAGAACAAATGATTATTGGAATCATGAAATACGTGATGAACCACAAGTCGAAAGTTAGGGTTTCTCGAAAGTTTCGACTTTTCAAAAACTTATCTGTTCTTATCAGCAACATGTTTAGCACTGTTGTGTTAGATGTTCAGTAAACTTTGGAAGGTTTTCGTTAACTTGAAAAAAGAAAAGTGGCGTTAAAGAAAAGACGGCCGGCTGCGGGGCTCAGACAGTCGAAGGGATACCTCCGGCGGGCAAATGGCACGAGTCTGCCACTTTGCGCGCCGAAGAGCTACGGAACTCTCCCATTTCACCCATTTTGTGCTCCGGGGCTCTCCCAAATCTGGCGCACCTCCGGAGCAGAGATTTGCGAGTGACACACAGTGACGTCACAAGCAGGCAAATGGGACCCATCTCTGGGACCCGCGCCATTTGCCCGCCGGAGGTATCCCTTCGACTGTCTGACAGGATCATCAGGGATCATACAAAATGCTCGAAAATGCGGCTTGTCCAGCTTCTCTTTCCTGTTCAATATGTTCACAAAGGAAGGTAAGAATACTTACACATAGGTATATAGTGTGAAATCCAGGTATCTGGCTTCAAGATATGAAGCTTTCTTTCCAAGCTGCGATCTCCTGCCCAAAGGGATGTTAATGCATGCGGCCCTAAGGTTCACTAATTTGTTTCGGAATTCTTATTAGAGACTTTTGGAAAAGCTTTAATAATCAACGAAAAAGGCAAATCTTCTGCAAATCAGTGGATATTTAGTAATTCTCTGACTTGGATTTTAGAATTTCTGAGATAAATTTATTTGAAGTGATCGAATTTTTATACTCAATCTATTCTAATCTCGTGCAACAAAAAATGGATAACATTTCAGATACCATACGATGCAACTTTTTTCCCTCATTCTGATGACGTCTTTTTTTTATGTGTGCGAAATTTTAAGGAAATTCATCGTGTTTCTTAACTCGAGTGAGTAATATTTACCTAAATTTTAGAATCTCAGTGTTCTGAAACAATAAATGCTTATCAGCTTTGTAAGATGAGTAACAGCTAATCTATTAGGTTGTCCCGAAAATTTTGTCCGTTTTTTTCATCGCTCGCTAGAACCCACTGAAAACCAATCCATGGACGACTTAGGTACCATTTGATTCAGATATTTATCCTCTTTCTTACAGCTATGTTTGCTCTCTGATCTACCCTATCGCCATGGCTTTTTGAGCAGCTTAGCAGTAACGCCAAACTTTTCCTGAATTTTAAATTTTTTTATTCTAATGTTTTCAAAGAGCGTTGATAATCAGTATGTAGAGCAAGTCTTTGGCTACATTGTGTTCGTTTTAGATTACATAAGCGACGCTTATCAAATCCGGTATAATTATTTATATAATAAAAACCGCGCCTTTTTGATTACGTTTACCACGCAGAAGTACCGAAAATTCCAAAATGCTGCTTTTTCAAAGCAAACCAAACTTGGTTATGCTGAATAAATCATGTTTAATAAGAATAATGATCAATTCGCAGAAACTTCAATTGCTTTCGCGTATTTGCGGCAGTTGCGTATTTCATGAGTTAGCCAAAAATCGAGGCCTCCGAAGAAACAGTTTTTTAAAGCTAAAAGCAGCAGATTAGGAGGATATAAAAATACTATCTTTTAGTCCAAGTATTGCTCTATTTGATCTATACCTAAACCTTTCCGAAACTTTGGAATGAAATTTTGAAAAATTAGCCTAACTTTGACCAGATAAATTTGACGTGTGAAAAATTTTAGCAATTATCAAAAAAAGCATACGAAATTACGGTTGGAAAATGTATAATCAAAAAAGAGAAGGAAAAGCTGCATCGAATGCATGTTGAAGCTTGTTCAGATCTTTATCAGGGCCCTGCGAGGGTGGCGATTTCACAAGCTGGATATCGTTTTTGGCTCGAAAAAGCAAAGGGGAAGTCGTATTTTGGGGTCCGGGGCTGAGCCCCGGACGCAATATACGACTTCCTCTTTGTTTATCGATAAACAATGCACATATCATTCTTTATTCATCATTCCTTGTTGATGCTACTGTCCCATGAACTTAGATTCCAGCAATGTGAAGATTCTGTGCTCCGATCGCTAACCTGCCCGCAGGCGGGAATTCAAATCGCAATTCTTGTAAGAGGAAAATAACAAAATAGGCTCGTTTTCAATGCACAAGTAACGATATAGCACCAAATTTGCTGTGTGGTTGGAGGACCATGAGCACAAAAAAAGTATGAAGAATTATGAGAAACTTATGTGAATTTAAAAAATGGTAAATGTTTTTCGAAATTAGGTGGCTCCCGCACCACCTGGGAGCCACCTGGGGTGGCTCCCTGCTTCCCTTCACATAATTTTTTGAATTTCTTTACATAATTGTGCTTTAGGACAAGAGTGTTACTACATATACAAATGCGCTTCTCAAACTATTGTCTCTACTCTCTGCTACGACCTTGGAACTTGTTACAGAAGAACGTAGTGGGGCGGAAAGCTCCGCTCCAATTGCATAACTATGCACCATGTACAGGATTTGAAAATCTTCAATTTCGTTTGCTATATTCGCAGCCTATCTTGTTTCTGTGTTTTTTTATTGCAGCTGTTTTGTTAATCACAGGCAATATATTTCCACTTTTCTTTTAGGAATCGATGAGGACGTACAGTATTTGGCCAACGTCCACCGGCCGAAAAATAAGATGCTCCAAATAAACAGAGTCTAAACCTTGTTGCAACCTTGGACGTTGGCCAAATACTGTACGTCATCGATGAGGCTTGATGATGATCGAAGCCTAAGGCTCAGGAAGGCTTCAGATAGGCATCAAGCTGCGTAGCAGAGAGAGATTTGGAAAGATGTGTATGGATTGAAGTGTCAATTCTGAAGATGTTTTACTCATGAGCTAATTCGCCAATGCGCAAAGCTGGAAGACCTCATTGGTTTTGAGGCAATTCTGCAGTGCCTAATCTGAAATTGACTTTTTGCAGCTTGAAGGGTGACGAAGAGCAATGAATGGTCTGAAACGTGATGTTTGAATGAGGAAAACGCACTATTTGAAGGAAAGAAAGGGCGCGCTCTTTACCCAAAGGATTAGGTAAGTTTGTTTATTGTGTTAGTGAAGATACTTACATTCTTTTAGACCAAAATTGTTTTTTTTTGCAAATCGGCCGCTTTTTATACTTCATTTGCAGTGTTGTGTAAAAAAAAAACGAGGTTTTCAAACTGGTATCATGTGAGATATGCTTTTTTGGGAAAGGCATTCACGGTGATCTTCCACATGTTTATATTGAGTTTTCATTGCGTGTAATGGGCATACGAAAAATTGTGACGGTGGTGCGACCGCGTGCGACGTGCACGCATTCTGGCAACCGCATTTTTTGGATTTCATCTCTACTTGAATGTTTTTTTGTTTACGTATGAAAATATCCGGAGGAAATGATGAGCTGAGCGTTGACGTAGTACATTTTACCTTACAGTACCTTTTTGTATGAGTGTTTTATGCTCCTTGTGCGCAAAACCCCAGTCAAATCCATCGTCACGATTCTAAAAATGACTTATAAGCGGATTCATAGCGTATCATCATTGAGACTGGTAGACTCGTGAAGGCTATACACATGTCTAAAGTTGATCTTTTTTCCAACTTCAACTTCATATCCTGTATGAAGCAGGAATGCTGTCCACTTTCTAACCACACTTGTTCAAATCGTGTCTGCTAGTCTCAGAATGATTCTTATCCGGAGGCAATCAAGACGCTAGCTTTCGTACTCTTTACTTCACAAAACATGGATCAAAGGCAAAATGGCTATACTCTTTGACCGCATGCTTCGTTGGCACAACTCATCAAAACTGGGGGAATTTCGGCGCCACCTTGTGCAGTCTGCAGCTTAACGCTTTTTTAGGGTAATCTCGCCAGCATGGGTGAAGTTACATAAATCATAACGATCTACGGAAAGCCAAGAAATCAAAACTGAGGTAGTCTATTGTTGCGCTGTTTGGTTTTGAGTGCTTCTTAATCTATTCTTCTTTGCTTTCTAAATATTCTCATTTGTTGATTAGTTGAACTTCAGTTTTCTCCTCATAAGGTGGACGAGACGAGTACGACTGTTGTCTTGCCGGACTGGATAGCTCAAATGAAGCATGGCTCAACGATTCAATTCCAGCCGCAAGGTGAGTTTCAGATTCTGTCTCGACATTAGTTTTTTTGTCGTAAATTGGTTACTGGTGTCAAAAATGTCTTATACAAAAACTTTTTTTTGCAGATGTCGAGCTGAAGGAGAAAAATGTGTTGAAATTGAAGTTCTCATGCGGCGAATTTCTCGTCCTTAATGAGAATGCCGTCTAGCCTCGCTTCATGCATCATTTCTTTTTTCTTTTCTTAGTATTCCGATTCATTCTAGTGTAAGCTGTTTGAATAAATGTAAATCAAAGCTGAGTCAGAGTAAGCATGATCGAAATTCTCTTTTGTTTTGTTTTTTGCATACTGCTGCTTGAGAACAGTGCGGAAGTTGGAGTTGCTTTCTGAATAGCAAGTAGCTTGTAACACAATATACACTATCAGCATTGCGAACGAGCTACGAGCTTTTCTTTGCTATTATGGAAATTATGGAGAAACTCCACAACAAACTCTCCATATCCTGAATAGGACATCATTGGGGCCATTTTTTCACACATTTGGATAAGAACGCTTTCTTTGTTATGATGCAGAGTTCTGGTGCGTTGCGAAATGACTCACTTTTGCATATACTTTTGCTTGAAAAAAAGGCTTTTTTCTGGAGTCAGATTCAAAATCTGTGTTTGAACTCATTGAAAGTGTTTTTTACTTCTACTTACTTTGTATACAAAGACGCCAAAATTAAAAGTTAAACCATAGTTACTAACATGCTACAATGGAGATAGCTTTCAGAAGCTGTCAATTACAAAGCAGTGCCGAAGTTTCCTTGGAAGGATCTGTACTGGGAACAGTTTCAAGGATATTTTGTCACTAAATCACTTTAAATACTGTATTAACGAGTATGAGCATTTCACACGCAATTTCGCCCTTGTGAATGCAAATAATATGCATACTTTATGACCTAGGCCTCAAAGGGGAAGTCGTAATAATGTCGGAAGTCAAAAGGGATATCGTTTTTGAAAACCTCAAATGCCACCTCCTGCCGGGCCCTGATCTTTATTGTGCCTGGCTTTATAGTTATTTGAAAAAGCGGACAAAACTTTTGAGACAACCTAATATTTAGTTTTGTTATCTTAGTATTGTAATGCTTTTGCAGCGTTTGGTGCTTTTTTGTGTTATGCGATTTTTCAAAACTCAAGCTTGCAAAAATTACTTAGCCAAATCTTAAAGAAAGCTGGAGAAACATATAATCTGCTTCGACTTGCAAAACGTTTGATGGCTACTGAAACTCCTTAAAAGAAAAATAAAAAAATAGCGAAACCAAAAACATGGAAAAAGTAGAGGTTAACGAGCTTCGCGACTATCTCTGTTAAAGTGTTTGTTTATCTTTACGCTGTGAAATTTGCGGGTGAGTTTGAAAAAAACACAAAACTTTTGCACCGACCTGTAGATAAAAAATGGATTCAGGTAGCGGAAAACTATCACGAATTCTGCATTGCTTCAAAATTACAAGTAGAACTTTAGAGCCTAATAAATATGATCTCATATGCTATTTCTCAAGAGAATTTTCATTCGCTTTCATATTCGGCTGCGATCTGTAACTTTGTGCTTTATGCCAGTTGATTGAAGTGCGTTGCCCTTATCGCAGTCGTCCAAACTACTGGTTTTTCAATATAGGCAAAAAATCTCTTCAAATTAATGGATCGTGATTGAGTTTTTTTCTTCGTGTTTCTCTTGTGGAAGTATACTGCTCAAATGAGGAATGCTCTCGCTATTGCACAGAATGGTACTACCTGTATGTTGAATGAAAACAAAGGCAGATCAGCAACAAATTCAATCAATTTGATTTTCAGAAAGAAAAACAAAGGGTGGTTCCCGTTTGTTTGAAGGTTCAAAAGAAAAGTTACGTTCAATTCTTTCATATAAAGGCGAGTGCAGAGAATCTGCAGTTTTAGAGATGTGTGGAAGGAGTTTACCAGGAAAGATGAGGAGCACATGAAAAGACTGGACAAATGACATTGATAGAGTCAGCAAATCATGAAAAGTAAGACTAAAAGTACCAGTCATGACAATTAAGCCAAGATACAGAACTTTGCTAACGTCAGAAATTGAAACGCTTTCTGAACACTGTCTCGAAAAAGGGCACGAAAAGGCGCATTAAAATCTCAATAAAGCTGATATTTGACTTTGAAAACCATTGTGTCTATCCAGGCAGCCCAACAACAGCAAAATATTTTGCTATTCTATCCATTAGTGAATGTCGCCAAACGTATAGCTTCAGTTATATTTAACCGAATGCGGTTCTCAGATCTAGATGTGAGAACCGCTGTTACAAATGTTCAAGCTCATTTCCATAAGTGTTAGTGGTATTTTATGGATTTTTCCCAAAAATGTGGAAGATACAATGCTGACGAGAAAAGTCAGTCTCAATTTAGTGTTTCTACTCACCAATTGTTGCAGTTAGTCTCACTAATACTTCTGCGTTCCTAATCAATCAAGACAGGTACCTTATGGTGTTAAGTTTCTTTTGCAGGCTGCGTTTTTTCCTCGGTAATAGGGATATAATCATGTTTTTTAATACAGGAGTTGCTGTTGGACTAGTGAAAAACATCATAGAGGAAAAGAATACAGGGTGCACACTCTCTGCTGTACGAATTGCACTTGACCGGAGTTGATCTAAACCCTACTCGTGTGCACAAGTAACGGGATTTACAAAGGAATAGTCAGAATTAGATGTAGCATAGAAGCTGACTCCGAATCTGTATTCTATCTGCTTAACGCTTATGTGGGCAAAGCTATGAGCCTTTGAAAGCAGTTATTTTGCTGAGAAATAGGGTATCCGAAGCGCAATTCTGGCAATAGAAAGCCATGTTCGGCTTAATGCTCGGCAACATGCAGCTACGTTAGTTTATATTCTTAAAGCCTATAGATGAGCTAAAAGTGCAGCAGTGTGCTCAATTTCGCAATTTTTATGCACGATTTTTTTGCAATAAAAATTCTCATAATTCCGTTTACAAGGGCGCTAAGCAGATATGGAATACAAATTCGAAATCGGCGTTAAATGCTGCATTGAATGGTAGGTAGCTTGCTCCGATTGGCGACTTCGACTTTCGACCATTCCCCTGTTAGGGTGGGAGGGGCATTACTTACTTGTGGGTGCAATTAGAAAATTGCCGCGACGCGGCGTTACAGTAACCCGGGCGAGAGGGAGCAGGGCCAGAGAAAATGTCTCAGAGGAAATGCTTAGGGCTCACGTTAGTGTGAACAAAAAGTACTCATTCTGTCATCAGATAAACAGTAATTCCCATAACTCCATTCACTATCTCTATTCCCTCACAGACTACTGGCACCGTGTCGCGCGCAGCGCCTGCGTAATTTACAATCACAAGTAATGGGATACCCTCCCCCTGTTAGTAGTGGAGAGAGATGAGTGCTCAATTAAGTAATAATGAACTGATCCCGGAATAAAGTTAAGAATACCGAATAATTTGAAAGGGCATTTCTGGCAAGTGTTTCATGGCCAGTAAGGCAAGTGCGACTACAGCACACAGGTCTTGCAAGCCTCCTCTTGCTCACAAGCCCCAATACAGCATCAGTCTTAGTCTTTCAAATAGTCGATTTCCGTAAATCTAAACAACTCTCATAACATTGATATCCACAGCTGCGGATGGACACCAATTAGTGCATAATAAGCGTTTTTAACCTTCTGACTATATTTGAAATCTAGCAGGAGTATATAAGATAGATTCGTGGGTTGTTCAATCATGATACCTTGGAAAATTCGTTGTAGCAATTGTGAAGGTCAAAAATCCATGAAAATGTAGTTGAGAACGAATTCGTAAATGTTTCGGTCCGTTTTCCAGCAAAAGACCAAACTCAGCAGATGGTAACCTCAGACAGGTAGTAAGTTAACGCACTTTGTCCGGTACTTTTAGAAGACTCGCATAACACTAAACTGGGGTTTTGAGTTGGTGACAGCCGGATAAGTCGCGCCTCTTGACGGTCTCCCCAGCTGCGTAAGTGCACTCAATGCTAAGTGTTGACTTACTTCTGAGAGGCAATCGTTCTATAGAAAAAGGTCGAAATGCCCCGACGATGGTTATGGACAATCGGAATATTGAGCAATACGGTTTTTTGCTAAGCATCTTCTTCTTCAATCTTTCAATTAAGACTCATTCTGAATTTTTTTCCAAGTTTTTCAAGTGAATTAATTGAGGTTATCTTATGTTATGCCAAAGGAAGCCTTTTAGCAAAACGAAGTACTCTAATACTCCTTCTTAAAGCATATGCCGCAAGAGTTCAATGTAACCGACCAGCTCGGTAATAGCTTAAAATAATTTTCTACCGCATTCAAATGAATTTCTACTATAAGTATTGTCGAGTCATTCGTAGCTTAATATGCGTAGTGCACAGTGTATACGCTAACTGACGAACTGCGAAATTAGAACCTGCTCAATTCCGGTAATTTCTTCTTGTTTCTTTGTTTCTTTTGTATTAATTAGTTATATGCTAGTCAGTAGAACACACTTCTACATTTTCTTAGCTTAGAAAATGTTTTACTGGGAAGTTACTAGTGTGGGGGCCGTCGCTAATAGGGCTTAGTGTGCAATCTCACATATTAAGTTACAAATGACTCAAGGCTAGAACATACTGACTTACCGCCAAGCACACAATCTTCAAAGGCTATGTGGTAAGTGGTATGCGATCAGGTGACGGTATAGCGACTTCGAGAGGGCCTTTTCCAGTATGTTTCATCCTGAAGCAAAACTCGCTTGAAGCTCAGAAATCTGAAATGGGGAAGGATCTAAAGTACTGGTGATCTGCAACAATAGGTTTTGCTGACCGTTACTTGATAGATCATGTGGGCGACAAATATTTTGATAGCTCCTTATTTTTCCATGGTGACAGTAAGTTACATTTATTGGGAATACCCAGCGAGTCAATGAAACCAACGGTATAGTACGAATTAACTTCGTCTTTTCAATCGTACTTATGTTATTAAAGTTTTCAAAATTGGTTTGGTTTCGAGCCCATATGATTCGAGCATCGTCTTCTACGATGAGTGCCCTTTACCAAAAGTAGGTGTTGCACTTTTGACTACACTGACATAAACTCTAGTTCACTATCCACTTTCAAAGACCCACGGTGCTAGATCAAAAATTTCAGGCAGTAATGGCTGAGCTCTAAACGATGGGGAAAGACAGAATCAGTATGGCTTTTTCAGCAGTATT